AATGGTTGTTTTAACAAAAAACTTGAGAAATGCTGCCAGCAAGTACCAAAATACATTTAACTATTTAAGTCTCAACATAAATGACAAGGGCAACGATTTTAAAAGTCTTGAAAAATGCTGCCAGCAAGTCTGAAAATAAATGACAAGGGCAACGATTTTTCAAGATAAAATAAACCACAATGAGACACAAATACCAGTTATGCAGATGAAGCACTTTCGGCTTCAATCTCTTTACCAATAAGGAGGACGTCTTCCTCAACATCCGCTTGATAACCACGACACCAATTTTGGGTGGTAACCAATGCCTCAACATTCTTTGGCAAAAGTTTACCCCTATATTTGTTCAAAATACGACCACCCAAACTAAAAGAAGATTCAGAGGCCACCGATGTAATAGGAATGGCCAAAACATCCCTTGCCATATTAGCTAAAATAGGAAGAGAAGAAGCTTGAGATTCCCAGTACTTGAGAACGTCAAAATGTTCCCCTTGAATTAATCGCGAACGAGGTCCATTCAAATATGCCTCAAGATCAGCCAGAGGGCATCTAGTTGAATCATCACATTCGTCATCAACCTCATGCAACTGAAACAGATTTTTTATTAGAAGTTAAATTATGACATTACAAATAAAAATAGAAGACTACCATTAATATTGAGTATATTGTATAACATAAATACCGTGAAAATATTTTGAGATCTCAACGTGCGATTAGAATTTTCAGATTGAGCTGTGTTTGAAGAGGCAGGATTTCTGCAGCTTGTATTAAATGCAGTAGAATAAAATTTATAAAGGTCATAAAAAGCTTCCTTAATCATCATAATCTTTTCGTCGCATGCTTCATCATTATACAACGAGTTCAACATATGTCTCACTCGAAACAACTTATAACGAGGATCAAGAGCAATAGCAACTGAAAGTATCAAACTATAATCCTCCCAATAACTCTCAAACTTCTCAAGCATAACTGCTGCCATGGGTGCAAGTTTAGGGTCTTTAAAGGCTTGAGTAATAGCGTACTCAATTTTTAAAACACTAACAAAATACAAATTAGAAGTGGGATATTCTTTGCCACACAAATTACAACGAGCATAATCTACCTTTTCATTACCTATCGTCTTTACAAAAAAAGTGTAATGCTTCCATATACCTGCGGTTCTTTGACGTTTATTAACAGAAGGATTGATAATGCCGGTATTACTAGCATCATCATCCGGGACAGAGGCAGCTTGAGAGCTAACAGTATCAAAATTTGATTGCCTCTCATAGTCAAATTCATCATACTCACGAGACATGACTGAAACAAAAAAAAGAAACAGCATTTATAAGTACCAAATTAAGTGACAGATTCTACTAATAGTGAGCAATTAAGCATGCATTGTCTCATGTGACTGACATATGTGTACATTCTAAGTACTAACTTTAAGCCAACTTTAAGCCAATCATACAAGTATACATTTTAAGCATGCATGATTTCCCTGGTAAGTCATTTTTTTCAGTAAGGCATAAGGACCCACAATTGAATTTCAATGGATAAATTCATTCTTGAGTACAAAATATGCCAATTATTACAAGTATGCAATTGACAGTATGGTCAACCATCATTTTTTATGGAGTATGGACCAAAGCATGAAGCACAACTGCACAAGTATTCCAATAAATAAACAATGCATGTATTCCAACAATAATAATCACATAATCTGAACAACCCATCATCATTACTTTTAAATCGAGCATAATAAACAACAAAACAGCACAAATCTACCATTTCCCGTAAAAAACAAAAATACAATCAACAACAGATTTTAGGCATATTTCGACTATATTCAAGCAAGAACAACAACAATAATCAAATACAAAAACAGAAAAACTGTATTAAAAAAAAAAACGAAAAGGAAAAAGTAATTACCTTTGACGGCTTGAAGGAGATTTGAAGATGGAGAACTGCCTGAACTGGAGACCAAAAGAAAAAATCAAGAATGTAGATTATCAGAACTTGAAATAAAAAAAAAACGAAACGAAAACGAAAAAAATCGAAAAAATTAACAAAAAAATTACCTTGAGGTTTGACGGCTTGAAGGAGAGGAAGATTTGAAGAAAAAAAAAACGAGAATGGAAAAGTCAGAAATCAGAACTTTAGATCCAAAACAAAAAATGAAACGAAAACAAAAACCCTAAATAAAAAAAGTAAAAAATCGAAACGAAAACGAAAAAAAATCAAACGAAAACAACAAAAATTAACAAAAAATTACCTTGAGGTTTGACGGCTTGAAGGAGAGGAAGATTTGAAAAAAAAAACGAGAATGGAAAAGTCAGAAATCAGAACTTAGATCCAAAACAAAAATAAAACGAAAACAAAAACCCTAAATAAACAAACCGAAACAAAAACGAAAAAAATCAAAACGAAAACAACAAAAATTAACAAAAAATTACCTTGAGTTTTGAACTTTTGACGGCTTGAAGCCTTCAAATTGAAGGAGAGGAAGATTTGAAAAAACAAAAAAACGAGAATGTAAAGCGAGAAATCAGAACTGTAGATCCAAAACACAAATGAAACGAAAACAAAAACCCTAATTAGGATTTTTAAAAGTTGAGAAATTGAGATTCTTGAGAATTTCAGAACGAAAGAGTGAGAAACTGAGAAGTTAGAGAGAGAAACTATGATAGATTGAGAATAGAAGAGTGACTGAGTGAGTAAAAGTGTAAAACGGCTGAGTGACTGATAGAGTGGGTTTTTTTTTTCTAGGTTTAGGTTTTACTTGTTCATTTGATCTAACCGTCCATATTTCCATCTCAACATCTAACCGTTCAATTTTTTTTTTTGTAGATTCCAGAATATTCATCTAGATCTAACGGTCTAGATTTTTCTTTGTGCTTTTCTAGGTCTTTTTGACCGTTTTTTTTAATTATTTATTATTATTATTATTATTTTGAGGGATTATTATTATTATTATTATTATTATTATTATTATTGTTAGTATAATTATTTGTTAATATTATTATTATTACTAGTTTACTACTACTATTATTATAATATTATTATAATTATTATTATTATTACTATTACTATTATTATTATTATTATTATTATTATTTATTATTATTATTATTATTATTATTATTATTACTACTATTATTATTATTATTAGTTTATTACTTATAAGTTATAAATTGTAAGAAACGCAAATGTTTCAAAATTGCAATTGATTCAATACGACATAGTTAATGACTTAATGAGCTAATGCACATCAATATCTGACATCTCTATATGTATATTATATATATCTGTGAGTCTGTGACTGTATATCAGTATATATAATAAACTAATAAGAACTTAATAAGTAATAATACTAATAACTAATAAAGTAATGAAAATCTAACCATTGTTTTTCATGGGCATTCAATCTAACCGTTGTATATTTGACTATTCGTACATTAGTATTGCATAATGATTTCATCACCACTTTAATTAGTGATTTCGTGATTTCGTCCATTTAACTTATTAAGTTGTTTGAGTTAGTAATCTAAATAAAGTAACAAACTAAATAACGAATCCATTTAATCTCGTGTAAGTTATAATTTATAAGAAATGCAATGTTTGAAAATGGAAATTGATTCAATACGATATTGTTAATGTATATGTAATTATAGATTAATTATTATGTATATCATATCGTACGAATGTACGGTTGGTATCATTATCATACTATCATAAGTATCATTGCCTCATTGAATTATTGGTATGTACTATAATCGATAAACATATTTACATATCTGATTATTAAAACTTAAAAGTTTAAAACACTTGTTGATCAATCTAATTGAATACTTGTACATTCTTAATTATCGATTTATCGTATTATAAGTATCAACTCATTAAATCATGGTCATGACGCGATCTTTAAAACAATCATGAATTCATGACCCAAACCGCTTATAAACCGAACCGACATGATCCAAACCGTTCATAAACCGAACCAATTGAACTGTGTAAACCCTCCACTAAACCGGCCCATTTCAAACTGAACCGACATGATTCGCACCGTTTATAAACCGAACCGATATTGACCCGGGTAAACCCGCCCCTAAACCGACCCATTTCAAACCAAACCGGATTGATCCAAACCGTTTGTAAACCGAACTGACATTGACCCGGGTAAACCCGCCCCCTAAACCGACCCGTATCAAACTGAACCGACATAATCCAAATCGTTTATAAACCGACCCGCTTATGACCCAAACCGAATTTAAACCGCAAAGAAATAAACCGAAACCAATCCGAGCCGTGACTAACCCAAACCGAACCAAACCGACCCACCAGCTAAACTAAACCGTTTCAATCCGAACCGCTCCAAACCGAAACCGACTCAAACCGAGGTCAAACCGAACCGCCAGACCGAAGTCCCACCCCTACCCTTATGCAATGCAAAACACCCTAAACAACGCAAGGACATTCCCACCACCCCCATCATTAACCACCACCCCCACCACCATCAACCACCTCCCCCACCACCACCGCCCGCCACTCTCAACCACCCATAAACTACCATAAAACACCCTAAACAACGCAAGAGCATTCCCACAACCAGCCCCAACCTTTCCACCACCATCGACCACCACCGACAACCATCAAACACTGGAAACAACCCCAACAGCATGATAACCATCGTGAAACAGCACTTTAAGTGCAGGAGACCAAATATATGCTGCTTGATACATATAACGGATATAAAAGATATAGTTTCACTAACAAAAGTCAAATTCGGACAAATAAGGGAAATAAACTTCAAATTGTACAGAGAGTCATTTAGAAAACATTTCTTGTATTAATAATGTAAGCGTTATATACAACATTGTTAAATATCTGAGTACCACAAAAGGATCAACTAACTAATACTATCCGGACTCATGTATTGGAGTTAACTGATCTCCATCCTGTGTGTCCTCTGTCCGTCTACGAACACGCCTCGGACGCCTCGTGTAAAAACTTGAAAACCCCCCCTAACCTTAATGATGGCCTTTTTGATTTCATTCGTATTTTGATCGCTGAATGGTGGTGAATGGGTCTCGGGACGATGGAGGAGTCAGCTGGCGAGACGATGAGTCACCCTGGCTGTGGCCGGGAGCGGTGTTATGGATGAAGTAATCCTCTGCCTGTGTAGAGCCCGAAGTATGACCTCCACCACTACTCTGTTCGAAGTCGAACTGTGAATGGAAGGAGTTGGGGTCATGATCGTCCCTGGGGTGGACGAGATGGCCATGGCCATATCTCTGCAAGCTATGTATGCCCATATCTCGCACCCGCTCAACCTGGGCTCTGGTGGGTAAGGCTGCTAAGGCATCTGAAAGTGCATCAACCATCGCACCCATATCCCCCGCCTGCAGTAATCATCCATGAATTAGTAATATGATATAGAATTTCAAATAATTTTGGAAAACAAGAAACTGAAAAAACTCACAAGTCCGCTGATAACATCATAAGCTGGATAGTAGTGCGTGGACGGTGGGGTGTAGGTAGGGTTGATGAAAAGGCGTGTAATCTGCCTGTACCATACCATGTAAGGATCACGCGGATCCATAACACCCTGAAACAGGTGACCGTCAACGATAGACTCCAACCGCTGGTCCCAAAGCTCAATGAATTGATGATGCTCCAGTGACCAGTTTGTCTCCAACTTTCCACGACGGTCAATGCCGTGGAGGCGAATACTAGTGTCACAGGGCATGGGGATAGGCTGGTGAAGTCCGAACTGTCGCAACACTCCGTCCGGTAGGTGGCTCTCCACGACCTCAAAACAGATCATGGGGGTCCTGGCAAGCCACTCAGCACGATGCTCGAGCAAGTGTTCCGGCATGGCCTCTACCAACACAGCAGAATAGGGATCCCATGTCATCTGCAACAAGGATATATCGTGAAAAGGTTAGGGCAATGCCAATAAACAGTATAAAGAGTAAACAAACGATTACAAATTTAGTGCAAGATTCCACCTGTTCATCCGAGAGTCGATCGAGGGCGTCACGGTAGTAGAGAAGACCTCTCGCTGTATGCGCATGTGTTAGTCTGGGAACCACCCACCTGTGGCAACAAATTATTTAAGAAGTTGTACTAGCTAATTATAACAAAATTTGAGTACACAAGTATAATGTTACGAACCTACAACCGTATGCCTGATTGGGTTCAGGGAGCAGGGGAGCATCGTATGCTGCGTACTGATCTTCCTGGTCCAGCTGCCCTGGACGGTGTACAACAGGCCTACCTGGTCTCCCTACATGGATGTGCTCCCAAGCCCATAGCTGTTTTAAAAATCAAATAAAAGGTAAAGCATAAATAACGTCAAGTCATTATCAGACTAGGCTTAAGGATAATGATGAGGTTTACCTGTAGCACAACCAAAGGACCTCCAATCAGCTGTGCTCCACGCTGTTATGCTCTACACAGATGGCGATACAAGACCGCCAAACAAGCACTACCCCAACTGTATCCACGGATCTCATCCCAGTCGTGGTCTAACAGCTGCAGGTAAATAATCTGAAGATGGCTTCCGCTCTTGTTTCCAAAGAGCACGCCCGAGATGAGCAGGAACAAGTAAGCTCGGGCGTATCTCTACACTGTGGCGTCGTCAGCGTCCTGAGGTAAATGTCCAAAAGTGTCGCGTAGCCAACCGGTCCTCAGCGAGCTGCCCCTGATCTCGTTTGGCTCTGGCTGAACCCCTAAAACCCGACCTACTAAACCTGCGGGGTCAAGTACCACACCCCCTGTCACCGCATTCCTATGGATGGGAAGGCGTGTGAGTATCGCGACGTCCCGCAGCGTGACTGTCGCCTCCCCCACAGGAAGATGGAAGGAGTATGTCTCCTGCCTCCATCTCTCAACTAATGCTGTGATAAGCCCTCGATCTATTTCTCTGTAGCCCACGCGATGAATACCACCAAAGCCAACCCAGTCGACGTACTGAAGAACGCGTGGATCGACTGCCCAGCCGGACCTCAAGTGCCTGCACCCCAACATTTCCGCTATGTCCACCTGGTAATTCATTTAAAAACTGTAAATAAGGGTCAAGTATACAAAAAAACAAGACAAATCTGTATATGAAATGGCACGTGAGAAATTACCGTCTGCTCCCATATGTCAACACTCCGATGTCTATCCTGCAGTGTAAGGACAGAAGGGTCAAGTGGTCCTGGTATCCGATCGTGTCCGACCATGATATCTGTTCATTCAAAACAATATGGCCAAACCAATTAAAAAAACAGAATTACTAGTCAATGAAATTGACATGACTGTCACAGGTAAAAGACAAGTACGAAATATAAGTCACCAAATCTCAAATATAATCCAAGCGTTACAAATGTTACATAACGTCATTAATCAACTACTACATGAATCTACTGTTCTACTACTATAGCTAAACAATTACAAGCTTATGTTTCGGTTGATCTAGCTGGGCACGTTTTGCGATTGTGACCTTGTTGGTGACAGCGGCTGCATTTAGTCCTAGGTCGGTTAGTGTCATCCATTTCATTGCGTATGCGCTTTGACTTTGGCCGACCTTTTCCTCTTACCATGCTGGCGTCCGGGATGAGTCTAGGTCCTATGTACTGCGTCCAAGTGGTCTCACATGGAATAGGCCAGAACTGTGGTGCATACGTGTTCATATACGCATCCGATTGCAGGAAATACTTGGAAGTTTCCATCCACACCTGTAGCAACCAAAAGTGTTCCTTTATACTTCCCGTACAAGTGCGTCCCATCGATACAGATAACAGGCATACAAAGTTTGAAACCATCGATACAAGGACCAAATTCCCAAAACACTCGTTCAAATACTTCCATGTTGCTGGTATACCTACCCTCCACTAGAGCTTTGTGTTTCCATATGACTACGGTTCCCTGGTTTGACTGTTGCAGTGCTTGCATGAACTGAGGAAGTCTGCTGTAAGAACTCTCCCAATCCCCAAAAATTTGAGTGATGGCTTTGTCCTTGGCATACCATGCTCTTTTATACGAAACTTCAAAATGGAATTGCTTGGAGATGAGTTCCTGAATGAATTCAACTTTTAGAGTCGGATCTTTCTGCACAAAGGACTTCACAAACTCAGATATTATGGACGAATCCAAGTATGGGTGATCATTAGATAGTAATTCGGTAACACAGTTCTCCCGATGCGGGCCTTTGTATGTGACTATGGTGAAGCCACGCGAGTGCTCACTTGTCCTGGTACCCCTTAGAGACCATCCACATTTCTTCTTGCAACGCAGATGAAGGACACTCTCATTTGAGGTCACTGTGGTGTAGAATTGATTTCTCTGTATAGAATACATCTTCACCATTTCTTGAAGCGTTTTCTTACTGTCAAAGTACATCCCCTTCTCGAATTCTCCCCCTGGAACAAATGATGTATGACTCCCTGAATTGGCCCAATACTCATCAACTTCATAATTCTCATTTATCTGACTAAACCAGGGTATTGCAGTTCTAACCAAGGGCTCATCAATTTCCATCTGCCCATCTTCAAGATCCATGTCATCAAGCCTATCATACTCCTCCCCATTATCATCCTCATCATCTGTATCCGCATACACATCGTACACCGACAATTCGTTATTCACAATATTATCAAAATGACTTGGGTCTTCTTGAGACGGTGATTCTTGAACCTCATCTCGCATCGGTGACGGAGCCACGGTGTTTGATGTTGAAGGACCGGATTGGCCGAACATTGTCACACAGCCCCCCGCATGTGCAGGTGATGCTATATGAGGACTAAACGGCATCTGAAATTGATCATCATGCAGCAAGCGACTGAAAGTTCCCATCCCATATTCATTCGATGGAGTGTGGTTTGAAGGGCCTTGGAAGGATGCGGTGTTGTAATTGGAGACATATGTAGGATGTTGTTCTGCCCAAGTACTTTGTTGGGTACATATAGGCACTGTTTCTACATATATCTCATTGGGAACACCCTTCATTGTAACAATGCTTCTCAAAGCTTTTAAATGTTTGTTAGTGGAGACAGGTAACACTTGAACCCCATGCCCAGTCTCACACCTCATTTTAAGGTTCAGTTCAGCATTCATTGGGTTTGAGCCGATACTACTGTGAACCTCATTCATCAGATCATTCACAGTCATGCTCGGTTCAAGTGTTATAAGTTCCATATTCCCTCCACTGTACTCAACATTTGATCCATCGCACATAATTTCACCTCCCCACCGGCATAACAACACTACATTTTGTGAAGCCATATTCTACATACCAACCAAAACACATTTAAGGATAATCGAATTCTAAAACAACGTCAAAAAACCCTAATTTAACAATACATAACATACATAGCTTCGATAATGGAAAGTTATATCAAATTTCGAGAACCTACATGTGTAGCTAATATGACAACAATGAAACAAGTCCATTCTCATTATCAACATTTTCATCACCAATTTCATAAACTCTTAGTACCGCATACAACTATCAACATACTAATACCGCATTACCATCAACAATTTTATCATTTTTTTCACAATAATAGACCACATTACCATCAACAATTTCATCAAGAATTTCATCAAAAACAAACCACATTATTATTGACAATTTCATCAACAATTTCGTCGACAATTTAATCAACAATTTCGTCTATATTTTTCCTCAACAATGTACCACATTATCATCAATAATTATCAACAATTTATCACATTTCATTACTAATTAGCAACAAATTAATACAATTTACATCACAATTTGCTACAACATACAACAACTATCTACTACCAACTATTCAATGTAAAATTCAACAATGTACTACGAATTTAGGGTTTACCCGGATTTAAAGAGTGAGTGAGACAATGCTGGCAACAACTTCCGTTCACTTTGGCGGCGGCAGGGGCGGCGACACGGCAGGGGAGGCGTTGGCAACGGCTGTGGTTCTTTGTTGCTGACAATGAGAGTTAGTGAGAGAGAGAGTGTAAATTGCGTGAAAGAGATTGAGAAAAAAAGGCCTGGAATTCGTTATAATTCCCGCAAGAAACGCTGCCTGCTGCAGCGTTTAATGTACAGATAAAAACGCTGCCTCAGGCTGCGTTTTATGCTTGTACATTAAACGCTGCCTGAGGCAGCGTTTCATTTAAAGATATAAACGCTGCCTCAGGCAGCGTTTATTTGTATAAAACAGGTATGAAATACGAAATTTATGAAAAAAGTCAAACTACCATAAAACGCTGCCTGAGGCAGCGTTTTATGTCTTGAATTTTTTTTTTTTTTTAAAAAACTGAGTGTAAAACGCTGTCCGAGACAGCGTTTCACCTCAGAAGCTTAGTTTGGGAAATACTTTTGCCACGAGACCAATTTCGTAAATAATTTCCGTATAAAGCTTAATTTGGGAAAAAAATCCACTCTCTTTTAGTTGCAGCAATTTGACTTACTTTTGTATACTTTGTATTTATCTTGACCACATTTTTTTTTAACTAAGATATAAATTAAAAATGTTATTCATATTTTACAAAATTTATTGGTTAATAATTAAAGATATTAAAGCTCAAAGTTGTCCGTTGACGGATGTTAAACTAAAACTTGTGACTATAAGTGAATATTGGAAGTATATTCTTTATAGAAATCTATTGAAAGCAAGGGGGGAAAAAAATATCTACCAAACATTTATATACTAAAACAGATAGCATTGATAAGACCGGAATGGATTCTGCTTTCGTTTTTCCTAATTTGAAGTTCATAGAATTCAAAAAGGCAGCTTCTTAGTGAGATAATATTAGCTACATACGACATACCTCACTAACCTCAGTACAGATTAATCGTTCGAAATTGATTGGAAAAAATTTACACACTTATGGTGTATCAATGTATCTTAGGTCCATTCTTAAGGTAACAAGCAGTACAGGCATGAATAGAAATTTGTCATTATCCAAAACGGCGATGTTTAAGGCAAGTATATGAGTAGATCTATAGAATGGTTGTAGCTTGCCAATATAGAATTGTCAAGAACAAACACTCAATAATTTCCTACAATTTTCAGACAATTACTACAGCGTTGTCAGGATTATTTGCATATAGAATACAGTATTTAAATGAATATAAATTTTGGATGCAAAATAAGAAACTATCATATTGAATCTAGTAAAATTGATATTGAGGTGAAACACCAACATTCCATTGTGGTTGTAGTAAATTATCTATTTACATCATGTCCCTGAAACTTACTTGTCAGTTGAGTTCTGAACTGGCCTACATCGAATGAATATCAGTTAATTTGTGCTTCAAGTCGAAGCACAATGCATCTGTTCATAGACTGAGTTACATCCATCGATTTGTTATCTTCATTGATGAGCGTACTGGAGGAGGTGTTTTTGCATTCCTGTTGTCATTTGGACCTAGAACAAGAAACAAAAGAAAGTCAGAAACACTGTCAAACTTTCTGCAAAGCACCCCACATCAGATGTTTCTACTTACGAGCATCAGTCGATATGCCTCCAAGAGAAGATCTTCTATTTGAACCTGGAGGAATGCCTGTTAGTGACTGTCTTCTCACAGTTCTTGCTTTAGCTGTCGAGGGTGATCTTGGTTCACGAGCATTGTCTTTTCCCTTTATCGATGATGATTCGACCACCTGTTGGCTCCTATAATTACAGGAAGCCTTAAGAGTTAACACAGTACACTACAAAGAAACAGAAATGATCAAGTAAGAACACCGGGAAAATCATTAAATACCTTTTCTCAGAGCCATTGATCAACTTTCCAATAGTTCTAAGTGATCTTTTGATCTGAGACCCTTTCTTATTCGTACTTTTTGCAACACTAGGAGGCTGCATCTCATTCAGATCAAGTTTTTGCCGCTCTGGTGTTTTTGGTGGTTGTATCGTTGGATATTTTGTTGCACAATCTGTGAAAGTTAGTCCATTTGTATGAGTTGCAGGGGGAGGGCTCTTAGGAAACTCGGTAATGCTGATATAGTCCTTAGAACTGACAACATCAGCTGAAAGCATGCCTTTCTTTGTACGATTCTTTGGACCTTCCAAGCTCAATCTCCGAGCACGAATAGAACTTTGTGGCGTTTTAGTACTCTTTCTGATGTCTGCAACAGGCTTCACAGAACTGGAATTCTCAATGCTCAGTCGGCGTGTTCTTGGAGGAGTTTGCTTTTTAAGTGTGGTTTTCCCTTCAGAAGGAGTTTTGGGTTCCTTCAACTTTTGTTTATTTTCACTTTTGACAGCCATTGGATTTTCAATGCTTAACCTCCTAGGTCTTGGGAAGGACCCTTCAAGCATTGGTTTTCCAAGTGGTGACTTGGGCTCTTTGCTTCTTCCTGCTGTTGGATCAGAGAGATTATCAGGCTTTTCTGCTGATATCTTTAGTTGCTTTAAAGGTGATTTTTCCAGCCTCTCGGATTTCATGCTTCCAGGATTCTCCATGCTCAATCTTCGTGCTTTTACAGGACTTTTTTCGATTGCTGCTCTTGTTTTATCACAAGGTGATCTCAGCTGCCTGTTAGGCAGTGGGCTTTTTGGGTCCTTGTCACCCAGTGCACTCTTAAGGATCTCAAGCTGCACATGTTCACAGAATGAAAAAGTCAGAAGGCAATACTATATCTGTAGTATAACTTCAAGCATTCTAACACACTTTAACGAGGTGCCCAAAAAACAAGGAAAAACCTCAAACAAAGAAGAAGCAAATCTTGGGCTCACTGAATTATATCATGCGCATGGAATATGTTCCCTTCATATGAATGATATATAGTAGAATTCGAAGAGGAAAAAAAGAGAGCTTATAATTAGAAGTTTATTGATGCCTTGATGGATAAATATGCAGTCAAACTCGTGGTACTAGACTCTCTTGGATGAAAGCAGAGACTTTAATAAATATAAGACATAAAGATTCAGTATATCAGGTTTGTACCTCTTCTTTAAGCTGCATAACTTCTATGTTCGTTTTATTTGACTGAACAGCTCCGAGCTCAATAGTTGAGATCTTCTGTGCAAACTTTAAGGTTCTAATTGTCTCTGTGAAGTTATCTCCTTCTGGAATTACATGTGTGAGCACCACTACCTTTGCATTTCCTCCTATAATTTTATTGGAATGTTATAAAAGTAGCAAGTAAGTCTAATGCCAGAAGTTTTTGGTATATCACTTATTTGAAACTGAATCTGTTCAAGCCTTAGAAAAATAATTCAAGAAGTGTCATATTATGATACCTAAAGCATCTTGCAAAAGTGATGTAATTTTACTGTTTCCTTGATGATTGTTAGAACTTTTCTGAGAAAATGATGTAATGACATCTTCCAAGCAGGAAAGTGACTTGTCATCCTCTCCACTAGCTGCAAGATCTACCAAGTGTAGGCAACCGCGAATAATGTTTCCTGATGTATCCTTTCCATGCACATGGATTGCCACAGCACTACAAGAGATGCAAAAATGATTTCAATGCAATTCATAATGATGCCTTCAGAAAATTGTTAAATGTTCAAACATTTTCAGCTCAAGAAAGATTCATCAAGTACTGACCTATGACAAGGACTGCTAATGTTGTTCATCTTCGAAGTATTGACACTCGCATGTTTTCTTTCACCCAATTTTACTAAATTGATGGCATCAACATTTGACTTCACAGAATGGAATGTGACATCTGGAAGACTTGATTCACTGTCAGATGCAGGATCTTCAGCCAGAAGGTCTTGTATTTCTTCGTTGCATATCCCAATCATTTGAACACGCACATCATAGTTAGTTTCTTGCCTCCTCTCAGCTATTTGGAAGAGGTCATTTAAAGCAAAGAAGTTGATGCCCATATCCTTCTCTGAGACACCTGATGTACCATACTAAAAGCAGCAGAATCAAATCACCACAATTATCTCTAGCAGAACCTAAACAAACATATGACTGTAGAATAAGTGAGCACTACCATAGTATGTGTCTTGCCGGATCCAGTCTGACCATAAGCCAAGATGCACACGTTGTAGCCATCCATGACAGACCTGATCAATGGCTGAATCTCTTTAAACAGCTCATCTGTCAGAAAAGGAAAATTCAGCAAAGAGGAGTTAGGATTAGTTTTATTAATGAAAGTTAAGAATCTGATTATAAAAGGTTTTCACTTGCACCACTAGTTATGTATGTACCTTGTGTAGACGTTGGACCATACAACTGATTGAACCGGAAAATCTTTCTTCCATCATGTCTTGGTTTTGATGGATCAACAATCACAAGTGATCCATCCTGCCCGACAAAGTCTACCACATTCTTTGCTTCTGTATTGAGAATGGGTCTGATCCTACAGTAAACTCTAACATATCCTGAAAAATATATCAGAAAAAATCAAATTAAGGCCTTCTAACTTCGAATAGAAAACCTTGAATTCTTCAGGTGAATTCTAGAAATGTACTGATTTAAAGTTGACATCTGAACTCACAAAAGAAGGATTAAGGAAGGAAATATTATGGAGCAACTCACCCTTTAAGTCTTGGGCCATGTTGTATAGCTTCCTGTTCTCCTTGATAACTTTTTCGTAACCAAGTGCAGGGCCAGACATCTCTTCAATCAGACTTTCTGTAAAACCCAAGGAATCATCACAAAGCAATTTGGACTAAGAGACAGCAAAATATAAACAACCGAGTATCATTGCTTACCTAAATGCATTAAATCATTTGACATTTGAGATTGCAAATCTTCGAAGTCTCCTTTTGTCTTGTACCATAAGGCTTTAATATCCTGAATTATGATGGACAACAATTATATATTCCCTCAAAAGTTACAGCAAACTAAATACCATGGAAATTTTTGGTAGTTTGATTAAAGGTAGCAAGAACACTTACTGAAAGGTCCCTTTCTTGATTTCGCAAAATTCGCCTATGATCTCTACTACCTTTCCTGGTTTGAGCTCTGTGGCACTGCAGTGGCTTTAAGGAAGTGCATGTTGTCAGTTTAGAAGGGAGTTGTCATTGTAGACTATAGGTAAGAAAACTTTATCCCTGGAAAATACTGCATAGCAAATGACATACTGTAAAAGGACCCCGAATTTATACACAGATTCACAGAAACTGAATACTCAATCAAACAAGTCTATCCAGCACAAATAGAGGTCTTTTAGCTACCATAACATTATTATATGTTAGATAAATTATACTTCATTAATTCTATAGAAAGATGAAAAGATACTGATTATTTTATGAAGCATTTGTTAAATATTAACTAAAAAGTAGAGTTTGGTGAACTAAAACAGACACGACACTTCTAAGGAGGTTTGATCTCAATCATTATGCAACCAGAAATAACTGTCTTCTTGATTTTATCCATCTTTTTTACTAACACCTAATGTTTAGCTTAGACACATGTGATTAGGCTAGAATTTCTCTTGACTCCTGCTTAACTACAAAGGGGTATCTAATTCTATTGAAGTAGAAATGTTCTTTGATATACTATCAAGGCAACTTTCTTGCTGAAGGTTCCACTGAAATCACTGAATCAGTCTTTAACAATTAGTTAACTATCATTTGCACTTGTTAGCTCATCGTTCGATACCAGATTTTAAGTAGTGATTTGCTACTAATACAATAGGAATAAGTAGTTCATGAACAAACAGTAATTTCAGTTGCAATACAAATATAAAGTGGGGAACATAGAAATACCTCAGGGTTATGTATTAAAGATGAGTTTTCCTTTAGTATAGATACTGAAGCATGTGATCTGCCTGCTTCTTGCAAGTTTTCTTGAGAGCAAGATTTTAGCTGAAAATCATGAGCAGAAATCAGTTTATATTTGCTATACCTTATGCTGTTATGCATTAGAGTCCAATGATAGCAGGAAAGTAACACTAACCATTGGAAATTTATTTCCTAGTTTTTCCTCCAAACATCTTGACAAAATCTCTTTAAAAAGTTGGATTGGATCCTGTCACAAAAGCATATACAGTGAGCGCGATGTTTATGTTATAATTTTGGGAATGGGGAGGGAAGAAAGGCAGGTGCTATACCTGGCTACCATTTTGGTAAGAAGTAAGAAAATTATCGTCAATGTTTTCCTTTGAATCAACCATACCATTTGTTAGTGCCTTGACAATTGAATCTACAAAGGCCACCAAAAGAGGAAGATTGAATAACGACTGAGAATGGTAATGTAAAAAGACAAATTCGTGGCTTTTACAGATTAACAAACAAATAGGAACAGAGAAGAACCTAGGCGGTCTGCATAATCTCATGATTAGAATGATTGTCATAGTTGTAGTATAATTTCTAGCATGAGCAGTAATGTCAAGCAAACATGCATTCATTAGAACTTAAACCTTAATTGCTAAGAGTGGCGGTTATCTAAACCTGTAAGAGACTGTAAATGTTAAGTTGCATCAATTTCACCAATGAATTTATTGGAAGTTCAACTAACATAAACTGGTACAAGTCAGCTAACATTTAATCTGAGATACTACAAGTTCAATAAGTTCTACACTAGAGCTGACCAAACTGAACAAAAATAGGGCAAAAAGAAACCTGTAAGTGATTGTTTTTCATCCACAGCAGACAGGTCTAATTGCCTACAAGACTGAGCAGAAATCGCGCTTGAAGGTCTAGAAAAATTCTTGGCAGCAGATTGCAGAACAAGGGGAGATTTAGCTGTCACATGCTTGTAAACACCGTTCCCTCCACTCCATTCCTTCCACTCATAATAAGATTTAAGTGCTAAAATGCAATCAGCTATCCTAGCTGCTGATCCTGTCTCAAAATTCTCCTGAATTAATAAGAACAAAAACAATATTTCGTGTCATAAATCGAAACAAATTCACAACCTTCTTCCAATACAATAGGTGCAACATCCAGATTTATATAAAGGGGTTTAGTAATCTTACCAGGTCAGAAGCCTCAAAAGCAGGAAGCTTCAATTCTTTGACTGCCATGAGAAAATTCCTAACATTCTCAAAGTACTGATAAGCAGGCAATGGTTTTGAATCCCAAATTGCTGATTCAGATGCCACAAGTTCATTACTATCCACAACCTAAAAATCACCCCCAAAAAAATCCCACAAAAAAATATGTTAAAAATCAACAAAATTTCAAAGCGCAAAACCCCAACTTGGCAAATTGATGATATCAATAAAAGCCACAAATTTAATCGAAATCGGACTCGAAAATTCGAAAAGAAGAGGGAAATTAATACCTTGGGTATACATCCAGGTTGAATTTTGTTAATGACTTTGCAGAGAATTATGCCATTTCTCAAGCAAGAAATGAACTCTCTATCTGATGGTTCACTATGTATACCAAGGGGACCCACAGTACATTCTAGCCAGTGGACTGCCTTATATCTCCTTAAAGCTGCATCATCACACATTTTTTTTTCTCAGATTAATAAATCTTCAAATTCTTAGCAGACCCAGAAAAGAAAACAATAGAATGAATGTTGAGGATAAAAAGAGGGGGAAAGGAGATGAATTTGAAGAATTAAAAAAGAAATCTTCAATATTTATTTTTAGGAATTTGTATGACTCTCCAAAAGTGAATTATTTTTGTAGATTCTTTGCAAACTTAGGAAATATATATGATTGATTGATTTTTAATTTTTTGTTTGTGGTGTGAAGAGAACTTCAAGGGCAATAATGTAGACGGGATTTATTAGATACCGAAGCCACCAGCTAAGGAAACATATATGATTGCTAATTGTCTTCTATTACTATGTAAAGAATGCATCAACACATTCTTTTCACAATCAGAAAAATTATTAATAAAAGAGGGAAATTTGAAAAAAAACAGGGGAATTGATTCAATTTTCTTCCACTTTCATAATTGGTAGATTACATAATCACCTAAAATCAATGAAAATCATATTGGATTGTCTACCCAAACAAGAAATAAATCTCATCAAATCAATTTGTTCGTTATTTCTTTCCATTTTAGTCAATTAATCAATATAAAACACTTTGAAAAACATATAAAAATTCCCAGAAAATAAAAAAAGAAAACAATACCCAATTCTTCAGCTCTTCTTGACGCTAAATGAAAATCATGTAGTTCCCCACTTCTTCTAATTTCCGCCATTATTCCCCTGCAACACCCAAGAAAAAAAAAACTGTAAGATTGATGAGTAAAATAGCTTAAAATTAATGGAAGAACCGATACCCGGCGAAAATCGATGTATCGAAAACTCACATTATCTTCGTATTTTAGCTGTGAATTTTTCTGCAAATTTTTTGGGTTTTTTTAGTAGAAAAAATGAAGAAGAAAGGAAGAAGGAAAAAATGAGGAAGAAAGGAAGAAGGAAATATGAAAATAAAATCCGAGCCTAAAGTAATTGAGTTTATGATTTGATCAGACGGTTAATTTTGTTTTATTTGTGTTGGTTCGGAATTTCCGAACCTGAGGTATGGGAAGTTAACGTTATAATTTCAGCTCTTTTTTTTGAATTCAAAATGTAGGGCCAGAGGTTTGGTGTTGGGTTTTTGTATTGGACTTCTTTCATTTAATTTCTTGGGCTTTATAAAATTATTCTAGGTGAACAATTGAGACCAAATCACAAGTTTATTTGTGATGGGGTTTTGATGTTACGAACTTACGATGAGAACAAAATCAAAGCATTATCTCTAAATAGATGAGAGCATGAGACTCGTTTATATTTTCTCTATTTTCTTTTAAAATACAAATACGTGATTTTTATGTTATTCATATATTTCACTTTATGATTTGTAGCTAAGGAATTATATATAGTCAAGTGAAGTTTTGTTAGATCCATCTCGATATATACATCAAATTTTTTAACTTTTACGTATTGGAATAAAAGATATATAGTGATTGAGGTAACACAGTGACAAACGTGTAATGAGAAGTGATGCATTTAAAAGAAAACTAACAGAAAAAAGCATGAACTAAGAAATTATTTTACGTGATCATTTACATAGAGTCATAGACCCTAAACATAACAAAATTCATTTCACACTTAAGTTATCTTGGACCTCCCATGGCATCTTTTGAAATCTCCATTGTCCTAAGATCCCTAACCCATGCACTTTTATTATCAATTGCATCCTCAAGTTTTTGTCTCCATATGCGCAAACCAAGATAGTCCAATTTGGGTTGCGAACATTAAATTTTCAGTCTTTGGTATGGTGTCCTTAAAATTCGATCTTCACTTGGACGGTTTATATGTTTAAAATTATGAAAAATAATCTATATAATGTTTGATTTTTATCTTCAATATGCTAACCATTTTTTTAAAAATTTATATTAGACGTCCATAATATTCTTTTAATATCCTTTTTTTTGTCTTCGTTACATAACGCTATAAAAAATTTAAAACTTATAAAAAAAATCTAAAGCGGGCCCAAACCACTCTAGTCCAAGATTTAAACTGATTTATTAATATTGTTTAGGTTCGATCCATGCAAAATCAATCCAATCTCCAATTTTTGAATTTAAAATTTCTAGTCTTCGGTTTGATTTGATCCGGTATTGGACCAATATATAAACCCACCTCAAGGCGTTATTACATGCGTTATTTGAGTCATTGACAGCTCAATTTACTTGAGAAATAGTCTACATTATACATGCCCTATCTCTTCTCTTCCCTACCTTTTAAAAGTTTGAAATGACCCTTATCGCCAGTGTTTGACAGTTGAACTCTATAAAATGTTTATTTAAATATTTACCCTTATTAATGTTAATTGCCTATTTTTTTTTTTTTTTTTTTTGAATTCCTAAGAACAATAAGCGGGCATTTATAGCAATAAAAATATTTGTTTACATATTTTCTCTCATTAATGCCGCCAACAACTAAAGTGGCATAAGGGCTAACTGAAAGAACTCCTTGGACATGACTAGATATGACGCACGCATCATGCGTTAGCCACGAGTCTCTTACAAGTTTGAGATCACTATTAGTAGTGTTTGGATGATGATACCAACTAAATATTTATTTTACATATTTACCCTCATCATTGATGTTAATTGCCTTTTTTGTAACTCTTAAGAATAATGTGCGGATATTTATACCCCTAAAAAATTTGTTTGCATATTTTCCTTTATTAATGTTACCAACAACTAAATTTGTGACACGAAAGAACTCTACGGACATAACTAACTACAACATGTGTATCGTGCTCATTAACCGCTCTAGTAGTGGAATAAATAATGCATCACTTTGACTTATTCAAATGTTAACTTTGACTTTAGATTTTACTAAAATAAATAAACCAAATGTTATTATGTAAACTTTTATTATTGGATCGTAATTAATAGTGATTCATCACTTATTTAAATATGGAAAGATATAGTATGTATCCTATGTTCCTATGCAAGCAATAGTGGTCCCAGCTCTAATAACAACATAGAAATGTATCCTTGCAGATCATGAAATTGATGATTTCTGTATTAAATGGAGAGATTTATTTCCAAATTTGGCATATATTTTCATAATAGAAATGCCCATGCTTAATGTGTGACTTGTGAGAGTTACAAACCCCCTTCTTAAATACCAATTATTACTCTAATTTTTTTTTTAAAATTTTGCATTATTACAATGGGATATGGTAAAACTTATTTGTACAAGATCATCTAACCCAAATTTGAATTGTATATTTGTACCCTAAATTAAGTGTTAGTAGACTTAATTTGGCCCTATTTAATTAATATTCATTTGACTAATATTATTGATTCAATTATTTAATAAAGTAAAGTAGTAAGTAACATGGGCGGATCTAGGGGGGGTTCAAGGGGGTTCATTGAACCCACAGATTTTTTGGAAAAAAAATATAAGTTTTAATTTTTTTTTTAAAAAAAAAAAAAGTTTAAAAGAAATTTTGGTGAGAATAATTATCACACGAGTAAGTTTGGCGCATTGGTAATTCTATGGAGAATAGAGCAGCGCGCTCCTTTAGTACCTTAGGTCTTGGGTTCGACTCCAACTGCCCCCCTTTTTTGTACTTTTTTTTTTTTTTTAAAAACTCCTTACATTCAGATTTCAATAAGTCATATTTCAAAAATCAAACATCAGACATTTTTCCCCAAATTCCCAAACACCAAAACCCTAACTTTAAAAAACTCCTTACATAAAGATCCGCCCCCGCCGCCGCGACACGCCGGCACCGCACACTGAGACACCGACGGCCGACCGGGCGACCGGCGAGGCGGCGACCACCTCACGGAGATACGGACGACTGGACTGTGGACGACTGGACGAGGGACGACTCACGGACGAGTTTAGATTTCGAGTTCTTCTCTTCTACAATTGTGACTTTGTGAGTCCTCTTAATCTCTTATTCCTCATTTCCTCTACTCCTATTAAATCTTAATCTTGGTTTGCTTCATTGCTTGTTTTATTTTTTAAATTGGTTTATGGTTTTGATATATTGTTGAATTCTTGAATTGTTGAGAAATTGAATTGTAGAAAGTTAGAAGTTAGAAACTTAAAATTATAAATTTTTACTTGTTCTGTTAATTAAAATTTGATAATTAGAAGAAGTTTATATTGTCAAATTTGTGTTTATTGGGGACTTGTGATTTTTTTTTTTTTGAAAGGGAAGTGCTCAGCGAGCACAATTAGAATTAATCAGCTGAAATCAACAGCAGCCAAGGCAGCAAGGCCTTGTTTATTGGGGACTTGTGATTTTAATTGATAATTAATTGTGTATTTTGTGTATTATTGTAGATTGTAGAGCTTTTGTTACCATGAGTTTAGAGTCTTTTTGGAAACGTGCCGGGAAGTCACAAAAGTCCTCTACTTGTTCTTCACCTAGTTCAAGGAATCCTCCAATAGAAGAAGATGTTGTAACTCCTATTGATGATGTGGATATTGAGTCTCCTAATGATGATGCGGATGTCGTGTCTCCTAATAAAGATGCGGTTCCAGTGGCTGCTTCAATTCCAATCCCTGAAAACACAACTCAAAGTAATCCAAATGCTAGTGTTGAGTCTGATGATACTCGCATTTATGATGTTCATCTTCTTCCACATGATCCTGGAAAAAGAATTCCAATTTTGGAATATCCTGCTACTGACAGGGATGCTGTGAGAAGAGGTTATATTACAATGAAACGTTGTGATCCACGCACTCATAATTTCCCTCGAAGAAAAATAGGAGGTATGCGTCGATTTAATGTTGCTTGGTTTGATAAATATGATTGGCTTGAATATAGTGTGGAGAAAGATGCGGCTTTTTGTTTTGTGTGCTACTTGTTCAAAGATAAAGTTGATTCTATGGCTGCTAATGATTGCTTTATTAAAGGGGTGTTTAGAGGATGGAATAAGATTGGTAGATTTAATATTCATGTGGGAGGTCTTGGTAGTTTGCATAATCAAGCTTATGAAAAATACAATTTTTTCATTAACCCAAAAACATCAGTTGCCGAATCTTTTTCCACTTACACCACAGAAGCTAAACTTCAATACAAATCTCGATTGACTTATTCATTAAAATGTATTAAGTTTCTTCTAAGTCAAGGCTTAGCTTGTCGTGGGCATGATGAAAGTGAAGACTCTTGGAATAGGGGTAATTTTCTTGCACTCTTAACATGGCTTTCAGAGAATAATAGTGATGTTGCAAAGGTTGTTCTAAGTAATGCCCCGGGAAATAATCAAATGACTTCTCCTTTAATTCAAAAGGACCTCATTAATTGTTGTGCCAAAGAAACCACTAGACTTCTCATTGATGATATTGGGGATGACTACTTTGGAATACTAGCAGATGAATCTAGTGATGTATCTCAAAAGGAGCAATTGGCCCTTTGTTTGCGTTATGTGAATAATAAAGGGAAGATAACTGAGAGGTTTCTTGGAATTGTACATGTTAAGGATACCACTGCTTTGTCACTAAAAAGTGCAATTGAGTCTTTGCTTATGGAGTATTCATTGAGTTTGTCTAGAGTTCGTGGACAAGGTTACGATGGTGCTAGTAATATGAGGGGTGAGATAAACGGTTTGAAGACTTTGATCATGAATGAAACAAAACAAGCTTATTATATTCATTGTTTTGCTCACCAACTTCAATTAACCCTTGTTGCTGTTGCTAAGGATAATGATGATTGTATTTGGTTGTTTGACCAACTTGCTATTTTATTGAATATTATTGGTGTTTCTTGTAAGAGAAAGGAAATGATAAGAGAAATATGAGCGCGGGGAAATTATGTCGTTGACTAACCTCCTCACGGCCAAACAAAATTTATTATAATCCTAAACTAACCCCTAAACAAGTCTAGTGGTAAGTTCGGAGTCGAACCATAAGGAACGGTAATGTTGGATTGTTCTCGATCTAATGCTTAAGCTACGCCGAAGTCGGTTTATGGATAGTGGACACTACAACTACACTAACACACATATAAAGATCAAGATATTACAAAGTCTACTAGGGGCAAAGATCCACTTTGAACAATTAACAAGTTAATGGGAATCGATTTGATAATCAATCATGCAAAGAAATAATTAAAATGGGAATTAATTACCATCAAGAGCAATCTCTCAAATTCCTAGCCTAGATCCCTCATTGACTAGGTGCATAGAAGAAATTTACCCAAAATGCAATCAAATATATAAATTCTAATTCACAATCCCTTGTCAAACTAGAACTAACATGCAATTAAGTTTGATATCTTGGGAGATCAATCCAATCTAAAACAAACAACATGCCATCATCAATTCAATCAATTTAATCACACAATTATCATCAAATTTATCTCAAATAACTCAATTAACCATAACAAAGCTTCACTCAACACCTAGTAGAAGGAAATCTACTCAAACATGATTAACAAAGAAATTAATAAAGCATAAAGAGAGAAGAGAGTAAGAAATGCTCATTGATATAAAATGGAGATCTTCAAATCATCAAATTCCTCCTTTGATTATCCAAAATCCATGAAAACCATTGTTTCTCTCACTTTCTCTCTCCAAAATTTGAGAGTTTCTCTCTCTAAAAACCTAAAACTACTGAAAATATGAAATCTCTCCTCTAAAATGAGCAAAAAATCTATTTATAGCCCTTACTAAATTGCCTAGGAAGCTCCGCAAAAAGTCGAGCAGTGCGTAGAGGAGCGGGCGTGCACCCCTCAGGAGCGAGCGCTCCAAACCTTCTGCCAAACTTCATAATTGCACACCCTGTGAGGAGCGGGCGTGCGGCCTTGAGGAGCGGGCGCTCCTGGCTGCGGACTGGGCAAACTGCTCAGCTTCAAATGAGCATATCTCCCACGTTTTACATCGGAATTGAGCATATGACCTGTCGTTGGAAAGCTCTCAAGATAAGCTTTCATCTCCGATTGGAATCGCCCCAAAATGTTTTGTAGATCAAAAGATATAGGCGTTTGAAGTATGATCTTTGCAAATCAAGTGCACATTTCTTCATTACTTGTTCTTTTATGCTTTATATTTCTTCAATCTTGAGCAATGAACTTATCCAAGTGTTCCTAAACATAAGAGTAAACCAATAAAGTTTAATCTAATGTCATAAGCCACCAAAATATGCAAGAAAAGCCAAAATTGAGCAATAACGACATTTCACACATAAACATGACAAATGTATAAAACGTTATTAAAACCAAGTAAAAAGATAGAAAAACTATGAAAAACTAACTAGAAAACTCCTAAAAATAGCGACATAAATGACACTTATCAAAATACAATCTCAACATGTTCTAGAAGCATTAGATCTAGGGGAAATTGAAAGTGTGCAAGGTTTAAACCAAGAACTTGGTTTAGGTAGGCCTGGTGATACTAGGTGGGGGTCACACTACAAAACTGTTTCAAATGTTACCTCATTATATGCTACTATTGTCAAAGTTCTCGAGAAGGTTGGATCAAATAAGCTTTATAAGGATGATCATGTAAAGGCTATCACTGTTATGTCTACATTTGAATCCTTTGAGTTTGTTTTCATGATACATTTGATGTCTGAAATATTTGGGCAAACTGATAAATTGTGTCAAGCTTTGCAAAGAGGAGACCAAGATATTGTTAATGCCTTGTCATTTGTTACGTTGACTAAGGAACAATTGCAACAAATGAGGGACCATGGGTGGGAAGAATTTTTGCATCTTGTGCTTTCTTTTTGTGCTAAACATAATGTGGAAGCTCCTAATATGGATGATATGTATGTTCCTCGTGGAAGATCAAAACGCTTCTTTGCCAAAGTGACAAATCTTCATCGTTTTCGGGTAGAAATGTATTTAAGTGTCATTGATTTACAACTCCAAGAGCTCAATAATAGATTTGATGAGAAAAATATGGAGTTGCTTATTTGTATGTCATGCTTAAATCCGGTAAATTCATTTGCGGCATTTGATAAGCAAAAGTTGATGAGACTTGCCGAGTTATATCCCGAAGAGTTTCCAACTAATGACATGACAATGACTGCTCTTCGTCATGAACTTGGTTTCTATATTAATGACATGCGTACAGATGCAAGGTTTGGAGACTTGAAGGGTATTAATGAGCTTTCTATGATGCTTGTTGAAACAAATAAGCATACTTCTTACAAATTAGTTTACTTGTTGATAAGACTAGCATTGATCCTTCCGGTGGCGACTGCAAGCGTGGAACGAGTGTTTTCATCAATGACTTATGTAAAAAATAAGTTGCGGAATAGTATGGGTGATCAACTATTGAATGATAGTTTAGTTACTTATCTTGAGAGAGACTTATTTGCAAGAGTTAGTGATGATGATGTATTAGCACGCTTTCAAAGTATGAAAACTCGAAGAATGCTTTTGTAGTTTTTTTTTTTTTAGTGTGTAATCCATCCATTTGTAATAAAAATTTGAATTTATGTATTGAATTTTTAATCAATATATGATCATCGTTTTTTTTTTAAGATTTCGAACCCACGGTTCGGAATTCCTGGATACGCCACTGGTAAGTAAAGGTATTAAAAGCTAAACTGATCCGAAAAAAACCCACATACATATTTTAAAGTGACCCGTTCCAAAATTTGAAAATAATAATTTACCATGACCCAAATTAAATCCAACCTAACTAGACCTAACCTTAAATCAGTTGATGATCAGAATTAAGATCATTTTAATGTAAATTCGTAACTAGTAATACTTCTAATTACATAGTTGTAATACGAAGTATTGTATTAAGATGAATTAAATAAGATGCTACATGAATATATTTTATCATGCATATACATTAAATGACGGTATAGTTTGTGAATTATTGTACAAAAGTCGAAGTGTAAAGAATGTTAAGGAAAAATAATTAGTACTTAAATATGACCAACATAAATGGATCAAACTAGTTCATGAACCGAATTACTAATTATCAATTGGATATATAACCCGAACCGAACCCAGCCTAGAAAGATCAAGAATCAAATACTCTTAGGCTATGTTACGTTTAACTCACCTTATTTTTACTGTTCGGATCAGATTAGATCAGAAAAAAGCAATTCTAACAAACTTTATATTAGGTGCATTTTTTTATTGTTATATATCTCTACTAATTTCGTAATGATTTTTTTTTCTATGAAAATTACCTATTAATAAAACGCATCATTAAAAATATAAAAGACATCACTCAATCATTTTTTTCCGTATATTTTAGCGTACATATAAAGTCAAAATTTAGTCAAATAGGACAATCAGATTAGATCATAAAAAAATGGTTCAAATCAAATCAAATTAGTGAAAATTAAATAATTTCAGATCACATCAGATATTAAAAAATAAAGTGAACAAACATAGTAACATACCCTTATTATAAAGATAATTATTTCATTGGCTGGTTGACAATATAGCTAGCTAAGAAATCTCAAACTTAAGGATTCTTTCTAATTGTTAAAGACTTATTTACAAATCTGGAATATATTTTCATAAAAGAAAGCCCAATCAGAACCAGGAAACATCAAAAAAATATCAAAAGAAAACCCAATTATAAAACCTAAAAATAAAATTCCCAAATAAGCAAGATGCCTCCTAGTTAACTAATTAAGCTTTCCATTAATCTCATGATTCTATTTAATACCCCTTTTGTCTTTTTTGTTCATCCTATTTGAAATATTGACCCTATTTATAAAATGAGAAAATCTTCTAATTACTCTTAATATATACGGAGTACTTCGTAAAACATAATAATATAGTCATGTTGGACCTTATGTATCAATTAATCTCAATGAGTAGTTTATTTTATTACTATTCAATTATTTCATATATATATTTTATGGTCAAAGTATTGCATTGACAAATATACGTATATACGTAGTTAAAATAAGAAAAACTTTTAGTAACGGATGGAGTATTAAATAATAAAAACAAGTAGTAGGTACACATGGGTTGGACGTTTAATTGACTTATTGTTTTAATTGTGATATCTTACCTTAAACAGAAAAAAAATCTTCTATGATAATTATTTCCATAAATACTAAAGAATCCACCCAATAACAAAAAAAAATAATAACTAAATTTATTTTTAATAAAAATATTTAATTCTACTTTTCTATCCAAATTTTTATATAAATACAACACCCAACTCAATAACAATCCTCAAATTTCCTTCATTCCTCCTAATTATTTTCTAGATTTTCAGCCATGGGAAGAGGCAAGGTTCCAATCCAGTACATCGAGGACACCGGAAAACGTCAAGTTACGTTTTCGAAACGTCGAAAGGGGTTGATAAAGAAAGCCTCAGAAATCTCTATCTTGTGCAAATGTGAAGTTGCTCTCATGATCTTCTCCAACACTAACAAGATGTACGAATATAGGAGCTGCAATAGGTAATTAAACAGCTTATTACATTTATTTTAGTGATATATACTTTTTTTTACAAGTATTTTACGTGATCATTATATTAAATTTCTTGTTTTTTATGGGTGAATATTAATGGTTTATAAGATTTGTGGGATTTTTCATCGCTTTTAGCTTATTTCACTGACTTTTTTTCTTAAGTATTGATAAATTTGTGATCAGTACGTAAATTTGTGCTAAAAAATTTACTTTTTTTTTTTCTGAAAAAAAAATTATAGGATAAAATTTTGAATGAAATTTTGCATGTGTTTGAGTCAAGGTAGGTCTTTCAGCTTTCTTCATGACTTATGGTGGACTAGGTCACTCCGTACATAGAGTTTTGCTGGAGACACGTGTGCATTTTTTAAGTTTTTATTATTTTTTCTCAAACTATTTTTTGTTCAATTTTTTATCTTAATTTCAAGAATTTTTTTTTTGCACCAAAATGACGTGATAAATTTATCCCTGGAGTGATTTTTGTCTATCTATTTATCTTTTTATTTATTTTATGTGTAAGCACAAAATTGGGACTAAAAAATATTGATCTGCAACCTCCTTAATTTAATTTGCATGTGGTTTTTTTTTTTTTAATACCCTCCAAGTTAATATTTTGTGTGCCCCTATCGCGATCCATTCGCATGGGATGCATGCGCGTGTATATCACGCGTGTACACGCGTTTTCAAACAAGTGAACGGACAATTTTATTACCTATATTAATATTAACATAACAATAATACATATAATTAAATGTGTGGGGCTTAGAGTATATGATCCTTTGCATGTAATGGATGCGCAAGTGAGATTCACGCGCTTTTTACAAAAGTGAATAGACTTGTGTGTATATAGTTATTTATATAATTAAATGTGTGTGGCGTATATGCGCAAGTGAGATCCATGCACTTTTATAAAAGTTAATAGACCTATTAGTGTATATAATTATATATATAATTAAATGTGGCGTATATGCGCAAGTGACATCCATGCGATTTCATAAAAGTTAATAGACCTATTAGTGTATATAATTATATATATAATTAAATGTGGCTTATGGACAAGTGAGATCCACGCCTTTCACAAAACTGAATAATAGACTTGTTTGTGTATATAATTTAATGTGGCCTAGAGTATATGCACCTTCGCATGGGATATATGTGCAAGTGAGATCCACATGCTTTCACAAAAGTAAATAGACTTGTTTGTGTATATAATTATATATGTAATTAAATGTGGCCTAGAATATATGCACCTCCGCATGGGATATAAGCGCAAGTGAGATCCACGCGCTTTCACAAAATTGAATAGACTTGTTTGTATATATAATTAAATGTGGCCTAGAGTATATGCACCTTCGCATGGGATATATGTGCAAGTGAGATCCACACGCTTTCACAAAAGTAAATAGACTTGTTTGTGTACATAATTATATATGTAATTAAATGTGGCCTAGAATATATGCACCTCCGCATGGGATATAAGCGCAAGTGAGATCCACGTGCTTTCACAAAATTGAATAGACTTGTTTGTGTATATAATTAAACGTGGCCTAGAGTATATGCACCTTCGCATGGGATATATGTGCAAGTGAGATCCACACGCTTTCACAAAAGTAAATAGACTTGTTTGTGTACATAATTATATATGTAATTAAATGTGGCCTAGAATATATGCACCTCCGCATGGGACATAAGCGCAAGTGAGATCCACGCGCTTTCACAAAATTGAATAGACTTGTTTGTGTATATAATTAAACGTGGCCTAGAGTATATGCACCTTCGCATGGGATATATGTGCAAGTGAGATCCACACGCTTTCACAAAAGTAAATAGACTTGTTTGTGTATATAATTATATATGTAATTAAATGTGGTCTAGAATATATGCACCTCCGCATGGGATATAAGCGCAAGTGAGATCCACACGCTTTCACAAATTTGAATAGACTTGTTTGTGTATATAATTATATGTGTAATTAAATATGGCCTAGAGTATATGCACCTCCGCATGGGATATATGCACAAGTGAGATTCTCATGCTTCTATTAAAGTGAATAGACTTGTTTCTTGTAGAGAACAATTTACTTGTCTGAGACTTCTTCTTGGAACTAAAACTAAACCAATGTGCCCAAGTACCATATACATGCACCTCCACATGGGATCAGAGCTTGTTACATGCGCATGTGAGATCCACGCGCCATAAAAGGCATAATGATTTCCTTCCTTCGGAGGATATATTATGCCTAATTTTTACATATAACCACATTGCTATCTAACGTAACAGTTACAATATTTGCTTTTAATTTTGAAACATATAAATGAGTAATCCGTAGCTATACATTGATAGTTAATGTTAGTCATGTAATTATATTATTGTTCAATATATATACTTTTATATGATACATCTTGTATTTGTACGTGCTTCTTCTTAATTAGTGAACATTTTGTAATTTATCATGCAGAACCATGGATTCATTCGCAACTATGCATAGGAACATCATTGCTGCTGCCAGTTCATCAAAATCCGCCAATGTTGGTCCAATAATATTGCCGGAGGTAAACATATAACTATATTGAAATATATGCTCTATATTTTACTTTTAGATGTGCTTTAATAGTTTGAAATGTAATCACAAAATGATCTAATGTATATTATTTATGAATTTGAGTATTTATGTTTTCATTTTTACCTTAATTATTTGTCTGGCTAATATTATTATTGGAATAGGATGATCCGGATGTTGATGTGGCTACCTTGAGGGAAGCACTTATTGAGCTAAGGTGTTCATATAAGTAAGTGATACGGAGTAACTCTTTATGTTATTCACCCGCTCTTTTTTTATCTTCTCATTTATTATTCATGTGGTCAAACATATAAAACTTTGAATGTATTTGTACTTATTATATAAAAATTTATCATGTGACATATTATTGTTAATAATTTTCAATTTGTATTTTCATTATATCAAATTTTCATAAATTTATTGATATGACACTAGAAATATTAATGATAAAAGTTGTACAATAAAGAACTTGCAAAACACATGAGAAGATAAAAAAAAAAAAAGGGAATGATTAGTTAAATTTAACTATTAATATGCTTAGGAAGTACTTAATATTGTAACGAAAACTATTATAAAGGGTCGGTCTTTTGTAAAATCATATCACATATATACTTGATTAATATTATGCAAGGTTCATTCGGACAATATATATAACAACTAATTCCGAACAAATGGTGTGTAAGCTCACGATTTAACCGGTCGATTTCTGTAGTCAGATGCTGGGAATAGGATTGGAGCACTTGAATTACAATGAGCTTCATAACCTGGAGATGAAGTTGACTGATGGGTTTCGTTATGTGAGAAATAGGAAGGTATGAATAATCCTGGTTGTTAAAATTCACACAAACACAAATACTGAAAATTAATTAAATGATTTTATATATATACGTAATAGGTTTAACATGTAAGTTTTATATATGTTGTAGGAACATTTATTCATGGAGGAAATGAGTCTATCTAATGAACATGTAACTTTTTAACTCAAATGACATTATATTGCGTTGCACTAGCTATGTACTATTTCCGTTTTATGAAGTTCTAGCCATTCGCAACCACTTAGATTAAACAGTGTTACCTTCTGTTTGTGCAGGCGGAGGAGATGGAAAAGGAGAATGAAGAATTGCGCAAGGAAGTAAGTGTACCAAAAAAAAAAAAAAAAAAAAAAAAAAAATCAAAGTTTAATTTACGAAACTACCACCGTGAGAAACAAAACGTTTCTCATAGTGAGTAACAGAGATTTACTGGTTTAATTTGTTCTTAAGTTTTTTTGTAATGATATATCATTGGATTCGAAATTTGTATGTGTATGTAGGTGGAGGAGCTTCAGCAATGCTTGAAGAGGAAACGCGCTGATGCTGGTGTCATGACTGATGAAGGTTACATTACTGGGAAAGGATTCGAGTCTGATGATATTCTCAGCTTAGGATAAATGGGTATGTACTTGTTCTATGTAAGTTTGAAATAATTTCGAGATTATTGTTACACTGTGGTATATTTACACAATTCGATTATTTGTACAATGTAGGTTGTCAACAGAAGCTTGTGGTGCTGATCTAAGATGATGCCAAAAGACGGTGTATGCACACTCTTGACTGGTCTGAAGGCGCGGCGGTACATGAATCATGAAGCACCATTTAGCTAGATGTTGATTAGCCATCGTTCCAGCTAGCTGCTTTGTTTAATTCGTTGTTGTTTTTAATTTATGTCTTAATTAGCTAGCTAGTTTTATATAGAAGAATCAACCGATGTTGTTACAGCTTATTACTAAGCTTGCTCGGTTAATTAGGGATTAGTATAAGTACAAACTACCGTTCAATTTTAATTACAGTTTCAGCAGCTGGCATATCATACATTATTGCCTTTCTTTATAATATAAACCCTTTGAGTTTTCTTATATCTTTGCTGTTTTTTTAATGTATTTATTTATTAATTTATTTATTATTATTTTTTTAATGTTTTTTGTTTTTGTTTTTTTTGGATGGATCGATATTTTAGGAGTCGTAATTTATGGGGAAATTGTGTTATGTACCTGGGTGTATCGTACACCCAGGGTCATTTGATCAACAAATGAGCAAAATTAATTATTTGAATTATTGTCGTCATTGTTATCAATGGTGTTGTGAATAGCTTTACGAAACTTCAAGAACCCATCATCATATTCCTCACATACTTTAATCTTCAGCAGTAATACACCCTAAATCCAGAAATTAATGGATCTAGGAATAATTATGAAACAAAATCATGAATATAATCAAAGTTTCGAAATTTAATTAATTGAATCAGAAATATGGAAATACACAAAGAGTGAGAAAGTACCAACCGGAAAAAGCTCAGTACATACGCTAGCTTGGAAGCTATGGCGGAAACAAAATTTTAATTGAGGATTTACGAAATCCGATCCGAAAATTGGAGAGAAATTGTATTTGATTTTGGGCTTGAATTTCCCCAAAGTAGGAGGAAGGTGGAAACAAAATTTTAATTGAGGATTTATAAATTGAATTTTTTTTTTTTTTTTTTTTTTTTTTTTTTTTTTTTTTTTTTTTTTACAAAACATAAACGATTTTCATTAAATATCTTAATAAGATTAAATATAAAAACAAATACAAAACTAATATCTGTTGAAATAAATCCACTTAACATAAATGGGTTATGGTTATGGGTGAATATCAAGATGTTACTTAAATTAGATGTTTTATTTACAATCAATCGGATGCAATTCTTGAGTAGGTAATGTAGTTTAACTTCTTTCGATTTTTTATCAACCCTTTCTATTATATTGTCTATCAATCTTTTGAGTTTTTATTTTTTATTTAATCTTTCTCAATCACTAATAACACGAATTGATTGTCTTTATTAATTTGTGTTCTTTTGTTCAAGATTGTGCATTTGAAAATTCAAGTTGGTGTATTTTGTAAATTAATGTTGTAATGATGTAATTAAGGTATGCTCTCTTTAATTTTATTGATCAATGTCACAAAAAAAAAATATAAAGAAAAGAATTTATCTTCCCATCTCTCTATATTATTGATCTTCATAATATTAGGGTGATAGATACCATAATTAACGCTAACGTGAAAAAAAAATCTTCAATAGAGGCAAAACCCATAGACGATAGGCATTGAAAAATTCAGTCATATATAAAAATAGAGAGTATATAAGTAATCCTAAATTATTAGGGGTGAGTTATACAAGAGTATGTAAAGGTAAGGCTGAGCAAAGCTATCTGAAAATCCAAAAATCCGATAATTTGATCCGCATCCGATTCGAAAATTATGGATATCCGATCCGAAAAAATCGGATATCGGATCGAATATCGGATATCTGAAAAAAGTTGGATATCGGATATTTTATCCGATATTAAGAAATTACTCATTATACCGTATCATTTTTACCTCAGGCACCCCCCCTCCACCCGCCTCTCTTCCTCTTATATGCGATTAGTTATTAATTGATGAATTTATTTGATATTGAAACTTGCTTTCGGTTTCTCATTATATGACAATCTCGTCCTTAATTTTGCTCAGATTTCCGGTAATTCTCACAACTATGGACAATAGAAAATTATGACTTAATATAAGATTTAAAATATATTTTCTAAAATATCAACATGCATATTATAATTATTAAATTACATACTAGATGAAACCCTTGCGATTCACGGTTTGTTTTAATTTTTTAAAACAAAAATTTATGTATTTATAACAAAATTTTTATGTATTTATGTAATAAAATTTATTATTCTATTCGTATACGTAGTATATCATTTAATATCTTTATTTTAAAAAATTATGAATTTCCTCTCATTCGTTATATATTTAGATAATTTCCTAATGTCAAAAGATAGTATTTTATATATTAAAAATTTGAACACTAAAATACCATTTGAAAATTTTGCTTATGTGACACTTTAATTTAAAATAAAAATCATAAATCTCTTATTTAATTGACTATAACTAAAATTTATAATCCTATTTGATGCATTAAAAAATTATAATCCTAAGTGGTGCTCCAAAAACTTTGTGCCCGGGCGATGCTGCTAAAATATATATATATATATACATATATATATATACATATATATATATATATATATATGTATATGTATATGTATATGTATATATATATATATATATATATATATATATATATATATATATGTATATATATATAAAGATTTAGAGAGCCACATAGTATTTAATTTTTTAAAAATTCTTAGAGCGTCATGTAGGATTAGTAATATTAGAGCGGTACATATAGAATTATGCCACGTAGGATTAGAATTAAAGTTTAAATTAAATACAAAAATAAAATATTATCTTTTTACATTGGAAATTTTATTATCTAAATATGAGAAAACAAATAATTTAATTTTATCTAAAGATTAAGTGCGCTAACAAAATTTATCATATTATCACCACTTTAAATTCAGTATTTTTTCAATCCTATACAAACCCATCTAATAACCCGCACACAAATAAATATACACGCAAAGAAGCATATTTTAGAATTTGAATACTATAAAATTCTTGAATGCGATGAACGATGATTATAATAAGAAGTCATTTTGTAAGGGGCGGATTTAATTATAGTGATTGATTTACAAAGGATGATGGAAGCCTATATGATCATATATATCACCGTGTACACAATTTGAAAAAAAAAAAAGTTAGTTAAACAAATACATATAGCTTTACATTTTATTTCTTTCTATATTTCTTCAAGAATTGTTTTGTTTTATTGTGTAAAAAATAATTACAAAATATACTGTGTTTATATATGGGTGAACCTTATTAATTGTATAAGATTTAAAAATAGTAAAATTATATTTGAGTATATTTGTTATTACGATTCAATATCAAATATTAAATTTAACTATTAATAGACACCTGTGCATTGCACGAGCTTATATCTAGTTTTAATAATTGGTTAAAATATTCATAAATGGATCTTGTTTTAAAGCAATTTTTATTACAATTATATGAAGCAAAAATTACAATTTTATTAGATATATTTTACAAATTGTGAACTATTTACGTATAAAAGGATTAATAGTTTATCAATAATAAAACTCTAAAATAATTATTTATTTATATTTTTTTTAATCCTGAAACTCTATAAAGCTTGCATATTTATGCATAGTTGTCACTTATATGGCTCGACACTTGGAATATTTGTAAGTGATATGATATTAGAATTTAAATAATTTCTGTCACATGTTTTTTTTTTTTTTTTTTGATTGTTTTAATATATTTCATGCATTTTAATGCTTGGTGAATTGATTCGTTATATATATTTATTATTTTTTTAATACCATTTTTTTTACTTAATTATATTGTCAATGTAGTTAATTAACTTCCGTGCATTGCATAGGGTCCAACATAGTTATTAGCATACCCTTCTCACCACTGCTGCTACTGTTTAGACGCCAACAAAGAAAAGGATGTCACTGAATAGTAGCTCGACATTGTTGTCGGAAGAGAGAGATATAGTGAGGTGGGTGGGTGGATGGTTGCCATTAGTAGGAAAGTATGAGGAAGGAAAAATAAAATAATAATAATAAAAAAAAATAGCTAATATCCACGTAACTGGTCATAAGGGACCAATAGAAGTAAATGACCCCCAAAGGTGGGATTATTATATAATAATAAAAAAGTGGGATTATTAACATCGAATTGAAAAAAGGTGGGTTTGTTAGAATCAATCTATTAACTATTACTAAAACAAAACATTCCTGCCATCATCTCTCCTCAAAATGTATACGTGTCGTTTTCTTATGAAATTTTTTCTGGCCTAAAACCATCGATGATGTCATTTTCTGTGATAGTTTTTTTTTTTTTTTTTTTTTTTTTTTTTTTTTTTGTTTTTTTTTGTGTGAATTTCGTAAACAAGCTAATTAAGTTCATTCAACAACTTTAATCTAGAAAATCGAAGTATAGTAAATTGAATAGCAACTATATTCCTTTCTTTTGATTTAAAGATTTGTGATTCCCTTTCCTCAATTCCTTAACACTAATATTCAAACGTTCAAAAATTTCCTGAAATATTCAAACTGTATTTCTCTTAAGAAATCTCTTTCCAATGAATTTATGACAAAATTGAAAAGATTCATTGTATATACGAGTTCTATACTATAATTTATTTTTGATAAAACCGTGCATCGCACGGAGATAATCTAGTTTATCCTAAATTATATAAAATTGATCTCTCTAAAAATGGAGAGATGTAGAAGGAAAACACATCTTCCTTCCAATTCCCTCCTTTCCCTTCCCTTATTTTCCTTTCCCTTCTCTATCTTTCAATAAAATTCAGGAGAAAAAACTTTTGTGTATAGCCGATTCACAATAATTTTAATGTACATCGAACTATATTAGGGTAATTTTTAGCTCTTCACTTTTTTTTTTTTTTTTTTTTTTTTGGGTCTTACATTTACAATATAGGTTTAGGTTGGACGGTCTTGTATAAATGTCAATCTTTATTATTATTATTATTATTATTATTATTATTATTATTATTATTATTATTATTATTATTATTATTATTATTATTTATTTATTTTTATTTTATTTATTTATTTATTTATTGATATTTACAAGTATACAAGACCGTCTAACCTAAAACCTAAGCTTGTAAATGCTCAACCTAAATTTGATCCAACCCAATTTGAAAATAAGTATAACTAATATTAATCGAAATATTACACCCCCGGAATCTAATATAACCCAAACTGAACCCAGTTGCAAACAACTAACAAGAATCTCATCTAATATAGAAATGTTGATCATTGGTTGCTTTCAAGCTAAACAAGTAACCTTGGATCTGAGGATTTAATTTTTTTTTCTAAATGGCAAGGCTTATTTACAAATCTGGCAAATATTAAATTTCCATTAAGGAATTAAAGACCAATCAAAACAAGGAAACATAGAAAGATACCCTAATTATAAAACCTAAAAATATAGAAATTTAAAGTAATTCAAAACACTATTACCAAATCAAGGTGCCTCCTAAAGTTTCCTATATATTTTCCGATTATATTGTATGCGAAAAACAAGTAACTTAGCTATATATGGGCATAATTCTTACCTTACTTTTTTTTTTCCCATTATATTCTTACTAAACTTAGTGATTACCTTTAATCATAATACTTACTACAAATATACAAGTATAAGATTTCCTCCCCTCTTCTATTTATTAATATTAATATTAATTTCTTATTTCTATTTCTATTTTTCTACATATATATAAACAACCCACAAAAATAAAACATAACACCCACCTCAATAATAATAATAATAATCTCTTCCTCTTTTGACTCTTTTCTCTTCCTTTCTCCTTTGTTTTTGTAGTAGGAAAAAAACACAAAAATATCAAAAAAAGAAAATCATTCTTTAAATTGTTATTGTTGTAGATTTTTGTTTTTTTAGCAATGGGAAGAGGAAAGATTATGATCAAGACTATTGAGAACACCAACAACCGTCAAGTTACGTTCTCAAAACGACGAGCCGGGTTGATTAAGAAGGCGAATGAACTCTCTGTCTTGTGTGATTGTGACATTGCTCTTATAATCTTCTCTTGTACCGGAAAGAAGTATGATTTTGTCAGCAGTAAAACGTAAGTTTTTTTAAAAAAATTATTTAGGGTACATTAATGAATTTTTTGTCGTATAATTCTTGTTGTTAGCTGTTGTTGTTTAAACATAATTGCTGTGAAATTTTCTGATCATAATTGAAATCTTGAAAATAATCCCAAATTGATGTTAATTTCTTAATTCAAAGGTAAATTTTAATATCCTGCAATTTTTTCCTATTCTTTTGGAATTTTCTGATTATAATTTAATGTTGTTTAACAAGTTTTGATGGATTTTTATGACTTGAAAAATAATTTGGTGTTTGAGTATTGTACATTTGTACCTAATTTTTTAATTATTTGTTAGAGTTTTTTTTGTCCAACTAAATTCGCATGTGTTATAAGTTATGGAAGATCTTTCTTAATTTGTATAGCAGATGAAGGAGAATCTGAATCCATACAATAAATAATATTTTACGAGTCGATGAAGATAAATTATTCAGGAAATATAAAAAAATAATTTAAAAATATCCTTTTTTTTTTTCTTGATTTTTTTTGGCCATTAAAAAAAAAAAAAAAAAAAGTAGAAAGTTATCTTTTTATTGTGATGTTATTTTATCTAATATTAACATTTCAAAAGATAAATTTTTCATTAAAGTACATTTTAGTTAAATCAATATTGACTCAGATTTCGTGACACTAGTCAAAATTCTATCCACCGTCTAATTTATGTGCCCTAAGAGTCCACAAACACACTTTCTTATCAAGGGAAAATCGTCCAGAGGGCAATATACTTTGTACTTTCACTATTTTCCAAATATTGCAACAAGGGGATGAGACACGAAAGTTGAGAAGAGGAGAGAGATAGAAAGAAATAAAGGTAAGGATCCACAAGAAAAAAATATGTAAATAAATAATGTTGTAATATTTGTGAAACTTTGTAAAATATGCAAATAAGTAGTAATTGTTACAATATTTGTGGAATAGAGAAATGATTAACTAGAGATGTCAAATTCCGTCTAGGCTATGATACCTTGGGGAAACAAAGATACAAAAATATACTCTGTAATTTATAGAGGTATAAAGCCAATCCCAAAATGGCCCTCATGGGCGGCTTGATCATTGGGCTTGAAAAGCCCGAGAATTGCCCCAATTGTAGCCCAGCCCAGTGAGAACCTCTAATATAATCCCAATAGAGTATATTTTTGAACCTTAGAAATTTGGAGAATTAATCCTAATAATAATTCTAGTTAATATTGTTGTTACTACTTGAGCATTGAATGATTTGTGGTTTAACTTGCAGAACCATGGAAAACATGTTGCAACGGTACAAGGATTTTGTTGCCAACCATTCAGCTACGGCCGCATCAAATTCTTCCAATGATGCAGCTACTGTTGAGCATCAACTAGTTGAGGTACGTAACTATAAGTCTATAAGTATGCTGTATAATTCAAGCTTAAATTGTTGATTAAATAGTATGTTTTCATTTTTACCTTAATTAATTGTGTGTTTAATATTGTTGGAACAGTATAATCCAGATTCTGATGTGAATTCTATGCGTGAAGAACTTACAAAGCTACGAGCTTCATGCCTGTAAGTCACACTCTTTATAAGTGTAATTTTGTAATATCGTGTCACATTATTGATTTTGTAAGGTTCGGACAATGTAACAACTAATATATGACAAATAGTGTACGTGCTAACGATTTTTATATGATCGAACTCTGTAGGCAGCTGCAGGGGAAAGGATTGGAGGGCTTAAACTTCTTAGAGCTTCAAACGTTGGAGAAACAGTTACTTGAAGGGATTATGTCTATCAGAAATAAAAAGGTATAAATTGATGGTTAATTTATAAATTTGATAATGAAATTGCAATAACTTAAAATGATCAGTATTTATTATTATTATTTTATTTTTTTTTCTGATTTATTAAACAGCTAAAATCATGAAAAGTGTAACTATAATAAGAAATTCAATGCATAACATGTAACTTAATTGTGTATGTATTGTAGGAGCGCATGCTAAGGGAGCAGTGGGAAAGAAGTAAACAACAGGTATAATCTCAAACAATATGATGTCGTGTTAAACACAGTACTATCTCCGTTCCATAAAGTTCGTTTTGCCCATATGCAACCTTATTAAGTGTATAACTTTTACCTATTTTCAGGAAGAGAAGATTAGCGAGGAAAATGCAGCATTACGCAAGGAAGTATGTATGCTAATAACAAACAATTAGTAGTATTTTTTTTTTCATTTACTCAAACTAGAGGGTTACATTGTTTGTCTATTCTTCTGGGATTTGTTAAACATCGCCCGCAAATTACTATATAAAGCCCACAAATATGACTTGGTGAGACATTATTGCCCTTATCATTTTTTAAAAAAAAACACTCTCTACTTCTCTCTAAAAAAAAAAGAAAATCTACCACTCCTAAATACGACAATGTCTAGGCGGCAAGGGAAGGAGGTGGCGGCGGCGACGGCGGAGAAAAGGCGGCGACCTGGTGGCAAGGTAATTATTTAATATTTTTTTTTAAAAAAAAAAAAAAAAATAATAAGAAAACGGTGTCTGGTGGTGGGGCGTCTGGTCTGGCCGCCAGAGCCACTGGCGTGGCGTCTGGCTTGGAAGCCCAGCCATCAGGCCAGGCGTCCAAACCAGAAGCCACGCCATTGGCTGTGGCGGCCAGATCAGGCGCCTGGGCCATTGGCGTGGCTTTTGGTTTGGACGCCTGGCCTGGTGGCTGGGCTTCCAAGCCAGACGCCACGCCAGTGGCTGTGGCGGCCAGACCAGACGCCCCACCTCCTTTTTATTTTTTATTTTTTTTTATTTTGTTTTTGTTTTTTCTGATTTTTTTTTTTATTTTTTTGTTTTGGTTTTTTTTTTTTTTTTTATTTCGCAAAATCAGAAATTTATTTTTATTTAAAATAATTTTGTGTTATGTCTAATTTTTTTTCGTTATTGTGTTTTATTTTTTTTAAAATATTTATCAACTTTATGTGTTTTTTTAATAAGTCGTGTATACTTTATTTTTATAAAATCAGTTTTTTTTTTTGTGTGTATGTTTTTTTTGTTTTGTGTTTGATGACTAAACATTTTTTATCCCTTAATTGATGTAGTATGTGGAAATTGTTTGTGTTAATGTGTAATTGTTTTTTTTATTTATTTTTTTGTGTGTATTTATGTTTAATTATTTGAAATAATTTTTATTCTTTTTTGAAATCCTAAATTTTGTAATATATTAGGGTATTATGTGTGTATTTGTGTATGCCGTATAATATTTTTCTATGTTTAATTAGTTGAAATAATTTGAAATTTTTGTAACATTTCCTATTTATTTATTATGTGTTTGATTTTTTATAATCTTTATTAATTTTATGTTTATAAAAATGACGATATGTTGGAAGTGTTGGTATTTTGTATTTGTAGGTAGTTATTTATTTTTTTAAAAAACTTTTGTATGTTTATATATTTTATAATTTTTTGTAGAATTCACTGGGTCGTCAAGGTGCGGGGAAGAATCTAGCCATTCTTAGTAGAAGCTATTCAGTGGAGAGGTCGGGGATAGACATGTTAGATCCCGTTTTATTTCGGCCTCGGCTCGTAGAGAACGAATCCACCGTCGGGATGAGGACGACGATGACGATGATGATGCTGAGGAGGGTGACCAGGAGGAGGGTGACCAGGAGGAGGAGCAGGAGGAGGGCGCATATGAGGATGAGGATGTGGACGATGGGAGTGGACCGTATGATGATTACGGTCCATTCAGTCAGAGGGTTGATGACATGTACGAGGCACATATGGTGGAGGTGCGTAAGGGTAGGGGTGGTAGGTTTGTTAGCAGATCTGGCACATCATCTGCGTCCACTGTATCTGGGGCAAGCAGGAAACGGTCGAGGGCCGTTAATGATTCTTGGGTTGTTAGGAGTGAGGTGCCCGGTGGGCCTGTTGACGGGAGTGTGATTCCTAGCTTTCTAGGACACATAGCTGCCCGTATTTGGGAGGACCAGGAGAGGCCTTCAGTTACGGGCTTGTTGAAATGTCATACCCGGGAGAAGACTTGTAGCTTTTTGCGTACATGGGCTGATTCTAAAAAAATAAAAAAAATAAAACAACAATAAAAAAAAAAAGAAAAAAAAAACAAAAAAAAAAAAAGGGTGGCTGGCGTCCAGCTTGAAAGTCACCACCACCAGCCTGGCGCCTGGCTAGGACGCCGCAGCCAGTGGACTGGCGCCTGGCCAGGACGCCAGCCTAGTGGTTGTGGCTTCCAAGCTGGACGCCAGTGTGGTGGTTAAGGCGTCTGGCTTGGACGTCCATCCAACGGTTTTGGCGTCCAAACTAGGCGCCTGCGCCACTGCACGGCCACCTATTTCAGACGCCGGCACGTAAAACGTCAAATTTAACGGTGAATTACCTCGTTTTCCGTCGACGACGATGTACCTCCGCCGTCCCCCGCATCTCCGGCCTCCCCTCCGGTCTCCCCCGACGACCCAGTACGGCTCCACATTTTTTATTTTTAGAGATTTGTTCAATTTTGGAAAATGGGCATAAATGTCAAACTACGTCATATTTGTGGGCTTTATATAGTAATTTGCGGGCGATGTTTAGCGATTCACATTCTTAATCTCTATTTGGTTCATTTGATTTTGTCTGTACTAATATTTTGTAAGTTTTAAACTTATTTTCTCTAAATTTATTTATCTGAAATTATTTTTTCTGAACTTTTTTTTATTTGTTCATCCAACACATTTAATTTTTACACAATTTAAAGTTAGAATAATTTTGAATGTGCAAATTTTGTGATCATAGGTGCAGAGGCTTAGACAATGCTCGAAGGCATCTTGCAGCTCTGAATCTAACTCTTTGAAAAGAAAGCGCGCTGCAGCTGGATTATCGACTGATGAAGGTTCCGTTATGGAGAAAGAAGTCGAATCTGATCAACCTTTTCTAAGCTTAGGGTAATAATAACACTAATGTTTTAGACCTTTGATGAATAATTAAGCTATTGAATGGTATTAAGTTGTGTACCTTTACATACATTCTTAGATTATGGTCAATTCTTACAGTTTAATTAAACTTGTACAATGCAGGTTGCCAACTACGCGTTTTTGTGGTGAGGTGATACCTAAGACAGAAAGCACGTCCAATGATTCGATTGGGGAAAATCCCGCGACATACGAATCATGAAGCACCTTAGTTAGTACAGATAGTTGCTTATTAGAGTGACAGCCAGTAAATCGAACTGGCTCATCGACTGATTAGAGTGTAGTACTAGTACTAGTACTCGTAGACTCGTAGTAATAGGTTCAGTTCAGTATAGTTATAAAGTAGTGGCAGCTCTGCCGTATGATACCAAGCATTTCTAAAGATTTTCTTCATTTCAAGATTTTTATAGTTCTATACATAGTTCAATGGAAATACAATCATGCCTTCTTTCATAGTTGTTAATTGTTATATTGAATTCTAACTAATTTGTCTAATTACCATGGATATACAGGCTTATAGGTTATGCTGCTCTTTGTTTAATTAGTTAAACAAATATTTGAAATTTTAATATTTGAAAAGTACACATTAATACAAATTATATGACCATAATTTTAACTAGAAAAACAAATGAGGGAAATTAGCACATAGCCATAATTGTAAGTTTATGGACCACGTACTTCATTCCATTTTGAAACAAAGTCCAAGCCCAATTAGTCGTTGGATCGCTTTGATGAGGCAATTCGTTTACTGATTTTAAGAGGAAGTCTAAAGTAGCCTTCTAGGGATCTCATTTTAATTATTTTTTTTTTACTATTTCTATTTCTATTTTTTTTTTTTTTTTTTTGGTTTCCTTTTTTTTTTATTATTTTTTTTTGAAAACTATCTCTATTTTCTTTTTTTTTTTTAATCTTCCCATCTACTATTTATTTGGTCTAACTTTCTTCCCATTTACTATTTATTTAGTATAACTTTCATAAGTTTGACTGTATTTTATAATTTAGGTATATAAGAAAAATTATCAAATGAATTTGGTTAGATTCGTTTAAGTATGTTGTTTCATAAAATCAGATTTTTACAAGTACGGTATTATATTAAAGATAAATAAATAAATATATATATATATATATATATATATATATATATATATATATATATATATATATATATATATATATATATATATATATATATATATATCATCTAAATCCAGACAAATAAACTTAAAAAAAAAAAAAAAAAAAAAAAAAAAAACTTAAAGCATGATTTTTTCAAAGCGCAAGAGCACGTAACCTTAGGTTTCATTAATAATCTTTTAGGATAGATAATTATTGTAAGATCGAGATAGAATGTGAATTCTATTAAATTTTAGCGTAGCATATGACTCTAATTGTAACTTTCATAATGAGTACTCCAAATACACATTTTATATTATTATTACAGCTAATATCTACTTACATATTAGTTATTTATATTTTTAATGGTAAGGTGAAGGACTCGGCTATTTATTGTTAGGGGAAAGCATATCATAAGGAAAACCTCACTCCCAAAGAGATTTGATCCCCACAACTTTTAAGTCATGAGACCAAATCCTTACCACTAGGCTAAATCTTACTCGGTGTATCTACTTATACAGCTAGCTATCTGCCCACTAAAACAACTAATTTTGCTACACACGCCCATAGAATAGACAAACACTATCGAAGTTGTATAATGTACTAGTTTAAATCAAGAGACTAATTGGGATTGGGTTTAACCTAACTTGCTTTGGGCTTATGGACATTGTGTGGGCCCGATCGGGCCCTATTATACACAATTAATTTACACTAATGTCTTTTCTTGAAAATCTGAAATACTTTGTTGTTCCACTTACAAAGGTGGAGTTCAATTCTCAAGTGAACCTAAAGCTGTATCAGTTGATTATAGTTATCACTTCTCACAGGCACTTGAGAGTATAATTATAATGCTCACACCAAAATTTGTCTATCAAATTCAAGGACACATTTCCTATATTTTCGGTTGAATGTATGTGAAATTGTGAAGGGTGAATATTAATATACATAATCAACCAATTGTGCCATCTTTATCATAGGTTTTGTGGGTTTGATTTCATCTAGGATGACAAAATAGCAACGTGATTCTGACGCTTTCAACCTTATTTATTTAAATACAAGTATTTGTTTGTATTAGGTATATATATATACGTATTACTCTGTATATAAAACACATTTTGTTTTTTTAATTACAGTTGTGTGTGAATTTGTAATAAACGCATACTCTAATTTGACTATATATGATATTATTTACTGAAAGATAAACATGATAATTTGAAATCTCGTTAAATTATTTACAATAAATATTTTTTAATCAGCCAATTTTTATAAATTTTCTCTTATTGATGATATCAGATGTTTATATAGTTGTAATTATGCAATAACGAACATGAAATACTGTAAATCAGTTTATTTTAACCTAACAATGATCCCTCGCTCACAATGCACGCCACATGCCAATTTATTTTAACCTGCGTGGGTCATGCTATCAAGAGTAGGAGAGAAATGATCGATTGAGAAAACTTGACAACTAACCATAAACCTAAGATCGCATATTGATTGGTGTTAGTAGTGAAGTCATCACTAAAACAATGACTTTTAAAGATCAAGGTTTATTTATTTATATATATATTTAAATAACTAAGGATCAATCTGAAAATAAGGCCATAAGGAAGGGGTTTGCAAAACAAAAAAAAAAAAAAAAAATTTAATTACTAGACATCTTCCACAAACAATGAAACAAATAATAAATTTTCTTTGGTTTTATATTTTATTCTAGAAAAAGTATTAGAATAATTCAATTGTAACTCGATAGAGGAAACATTAGACTTCTTAAAACCAAGTATTATTTTCATAATATAATGCCTAATTGATTAAAACAATGACAAACTCACGTGTAGAAGCAAAGAAGATATTGATGCTAAAAAAGATGGTGACATGTATATGTACGCAAACATATAGACATATGTTATACTTGTATTACGGAAGAATTGCTAATGGTTATAATACTACACACGTATCATATAATCTTGTCATCAAAAAAGAAATTAGTAATTGTTAGGCCACCAAAATTATTGGTACAATGCTTATTACCTCAAGCATATATTATAATTAATTAATCATAAAGGGTTTGGAACCGCCCATAGGTTAATTAATTAAATAGTAGGAGTATCAAAATCATCGTTAAACTAAATCATTAAAAATTTGTTATCCTTTCTCAAATGAAAAGTGATAGAATGGCCAACTAATACTGGCCTTTCATCACCAATTGCTTCTCCTTAGAATGCTTAGCTTTAGTAAGTACTCATAGTCTATCACAAGATTTATTTATTTTTTTTTTTTTTTTTTTGAAAGGTAGTCTATAACAAGATTATTTCCTTCAATTTAATAAATATGTAGTAGTTTACATAAACGACTCATATTAAACGATTAATCAAGTCATATCTTATTCTAGAAATTTAATTTATTGTATTGGTGTTATTCTTACTTATGTACTTATTATTATTAATTAGGAAGTATAAGTAAAGGTCAAATCAGACAAGAACATACAAGACTACATACAACGAATACTAATTGATACTAGTATTATATAATTTATTAGGTGTTCTCATAGTTTTTTTGTATTGTTTTTTAAGATGTATGTGTTATCATTTATTGTTTTGATATTATCTATAGTGATCAATGATACATATTCTGATCAAGGGAGTTTTCACAATCTAACATATTGTACCACATATCTCACGTAAATTAGCTTAATTAGCTTCCACAAAACATTTATTATAGATGAAAAATAAAATAAAATAAAAACATACACAAATGTAATTATAGGTCTAAATAAGTGCTAATTGACTCTAAATCAAGTTAATTATAAAAAAAAATGGCAACACTAAATAATTTGGACGGTGACCTATGATATTATATTAATGTAAATGACAACATACATGTTCTGTTAAGATCAATTAATTTACAGGGACACAAGTCACAAAAAGTAGTACTTCAAAATCTATTTAGGAGTTTATTAGGATCCTATTTATCAACTAAGGAATCCTAAATTTCTAAGTACTAAGGACTGCTTTGTACTATTTTTGTCAAACACATCACGTCTAAACAGCCAATAATATCATAGCAAAGCAAGTTTTAAGGAATAATTTTTATAATAGTCATGGTCCATGATGCCTTCTTGTTTATTCATTTTGCCTTTGTTTAACTTTATAAATTAAAGATAATAAAGGGGATGAAAAAAATATATTAGGAGATCCCCTCATGAGGAAAAATATTAACTTCTTATATGATTTATTATAAAGAAAGTCGGGACAAAGTAATTATGATGAATTCTATTCCGTAGCTCATACTTGATTTATTGGGATGCTTTTTTAAAAGTGTACGTGTATCATGTGTTACTTTATGTATGTGTTTGTATATTTGCATTGTGCTGTATAAACATCCCATTGTAAACACGATATATTATATGTTAATTCTGTTAGATGATTTTATAAAATCTTGAATATGTCTAATATTGTTAGATATATGGATATAGAAGATATAAGAAAAGTATCACATAAATGTATTATTTTTATATGTCTAACATTACTCGTTCTTAACAGATTTTATTGCAAAAATATTAAAAGTTGTACATACAAAGTTGTCTCTAAATTATCAAATTTGAAATTCGTGTAATTAATTCTTTCATACACTCTTCCATCAAAGTAATACTACGTACTCCCATTTATAATAATATAGTTTTGAGATAAAGATTGTACCCTTTAATTTGGGTTAAAATATGTGGGGTTAAAGAATAAAGCTACAAAATTAACAAAAACAATGGCCTTTTCCTATTTGGGGTTAAGACAAATGAAAGAACACAAAGGAGATCGTATGACCTAAGTACACTTAATTAATTAATTGATCAATTCAAAAGCTTGCAAATAATGTTACCTCCACAATTATTAAAAACAAGATAATTAATAATAATCAATCCCAAATATATATTCAACTATCTTATGGTCTTACCAATGTAATGAATATATAAAGGAGTATAAATATTATTCTAAAGCATATGATAATTGATCATTAACACTTCCAACATATTGGACCACCACAAACTCTCCACTCTTCCCTCTTTACTCATCATTTCCTTTGTCTCCCCCAAAA